TTATTGTACTAAATTATTTTTATAGTTATAAATGAACTGCCAAATAATATAGCCAATATGTATAGTGATATGTTTATCAACCGTACACAATTTACTTGTATTTAATTTAAGCCACTCACAAAACCCAGATATTGGGTATAATTTATTTGGATTATTCAGGGCAAATCAATATATATTAATCATTCAAGACATCAGTGTAGATAATATAATAATATATAATATATCGTATGGATAAATAAAAAGGTTTAAATATAATAAATTGTTAAGTATTTCATATAAGTAATATATATATATATATTAATATTTGTGCATTCATATTGAGTCTTTGACTAGTTAAGACGGAAATCTCCGTTATTCAATACTGTGGCTTTGTAGAGGAATGAAGTATTTTTCCGTCATTTACAATATTATGCCAAACTCTGATTTTATTCAAATTATAGTAATTTTATTAATATTTAGTTTTTGTAAAAACGTGAAATTTGTCACGATGTAATTAACTTTTACAGAGCTCGGAAAAAAATTCGTAGGATATTCGGCGCAATATATGTATTATAAGTGTTAAGCTTAGTTAATTTAAAATTGTTTGTGAGTTAAGAATTGCCCTTTATATATGAAGTCAAACGAACACACAAATAAATCTAATAGAAATGTATTTTACAGATGCAGGAAATACTTCATATAATGCAAAACAAAATATGTTTTGTTATCAACATATTATTATGAATTCTAAGTACTTAGAATTTTTTTTGGATTTGTTCCATATTGATGAATAATTTCAAGATAAATATAAATTAAACTGCTTGCCTAATACAATGTACTGTATTATATTATACCCTATTATGTTATATTTTATTATATTTTTTTACGAATATGAACTTGATCCTAATTATGAATACATACTACTAAAATAATTCAGCCTACATTGTATACTACTCATATTAGATATTTATTATAAATTAGTAATGATTAATATACGAGTATTAAGTGTATAATGTCTATAATAATTTACAAATATAAATATATATATTATATATTTATTAAATTATGGGTATACTTAATAATATAGGTTAGTGAAAAAGGTATTTTTAAAAGTTTCTAGGAGTATATGTATACTTGTATGTACTTAAATTTATACTACCAACACGTATAAAACAGATTTCTAAGGATATCAACATTTTAAATTTGAACGTATTTTTGCGGATTTAAGCAATGCAGATTTTTTTATTGAATATCATGTAGATACACTACATAATATATTGTATTTCATAATCATTGTTTAAAATTAAAAAAAAAAAAACGAATAAAAAATAATTGAAATTAAACATATGGTTAAATAATATACTTATCCTTATAATATTTATGTAGTTTTCAAAATAAAATATTTTTTTTTTATATTTACACTATTTATACTTTTGAAAATTCATGCAAATAAAAAAAACTTTCATGTTCTCTTCTAAAAAAATATATAACCGTAATTAATTTATCTTTATGGATTCCTCTAGATAACACGAATATTCATCCAAGATAATTCATCAGATCATCAATTTCATTTATTATTTAGATAATGCTCAAAGCTGCCTTTTTATGTGATACATTATGTCTTTATGATAAGATTAAGATTTTTAACGATCCTGGTACTATACGTAGCTGTGGATATTTATATTGATTTATATTGATTTAATGCCTTTTATAAAAATCGATCACTGTTATACAGCAATAATACCACAGAATAATGACATATTTTATGATACTAGTATAATAAACTACCTAAACAGAGATGTACCTTTATTTAAAGTTAAATTGACGTCCTCAATACCTTTTTTTCTTGTTAACGAGAACCGAGAGAGGAACTGCTGTTGGCTTTGCTTCTCCCCCAGTCCCAATCGTTTATTGTGTACATTATACAATTAAATAAAATACCAATAACATACTGTGTTGTGCCCCTCTCAGCTACCAAATGGACTTTCCCTATCGCTAGGTCGGAGGCTCCGGGTGCTTACATTCAAGTAAAACAAACAGGACGTCCTCAATACCTAAAAGAATAAAGATACCTACTGTTACTACTATAAAAGTACCGTTGAAATCAAGAATTATTCTTGGTGTGATCTAAGTGAGATCTCGTATTTATTATCATTGTACGGCGGTATACTTAACACGAAGATGGGATAAAAAAACATGGCGATTGCACAATTTATTGCCATTAAAATTAATGTCCTCTTTAGATAAGCGTTAGTTATCCAAGTTACCAAAACCGCAAACATATTCTATGTAAAGGAAACGGAAACATAATATCGAAACATGGTAAGCCGAAAGGAAATAGAAATATTAACTGTCAATTTATAAATCATAAAAGAGTCATATTAAAATTGCTCCAAGTCCTAATAATATGTATATTGTATACTGTATAATATGTCTGTCTTCACAACAATTCTGTGTATTCAAGTAGTTAATCTAGTTTCTTCACGGGTGTAATGATTAATCAAATCTACATAATACTATGTATATTGCAAATATCAACGACGTATATTTTTGGTTGTTGTGAAATGTAAATATTTTTATAATTAACATTGTTATTTTTATAATTAATGAGAACCATTTTCCCTTGGTTTTCATCGTATTCGTACTTTCCCTCGTTACACGTACCTATGCATCTTAAAATAAATTTGCAATAAATAAACATCATTCTTCTATGAGTACAATATTAATGTTCCGAAATTATTCTTTCATGAGCCCGTTCCGTCGTTTGATTAGAGATGTCTCTGGTCGCTGGACGGTTTGCTGAATCAGGGATGCCTCTTGTCGTTGTCTGCAGGGGCGTAATTTGGGGGAGGAAGCAGGGTGTGCAACGGCACCACTAACTAAAACAATTTTAACATTTGGCCCACCATTAATACTCTAATGCGCCGTCATAATTCACTTATATATTATGATTTTATACATAGGTAATATAAATAAAGTATATATTTTTTCAAGTTTTTGTACATTTTTGGTTTATCAGGTTTATTGATTATACCTTATTTGCGTTTTTTTGCAAAAAATAGTGAAATGGCTTTATAGCTGGTTGCTTTAATTGCTTATAAGCTTTTAATTCTTTGAATTGCTAACTACTTAAAAGTTGTATCAGTCGTTATGAGTTTCAATTGGAATTATAAAAGGGAAGGAAAGAATATTTACATAGGCTTGCATTGGTTATCTACATTTGTATACATAAATATATATATTTTTAATGACCTGGTGAAATGTCAAAATTGGCCTGCCTAAGAGTTTGCATACCTTGAAAAAGAACTAAAGTTATGAGGGCCCCGGATAAAAGACTTGAGAAATAAATTGCTTGATTAATTTATTGTCAAATATAATTGTGTGTATTTGTATTTGATTATACATTTTAAATTCTGAGCGAAGCAATGAATGTAAAGGTTTTTCATTATTTGTGTGCTATTTTTGGATCTACCTCCAGCTTTTGAAGTTGTAAAAATGCTTCAAACTTCAACTTCAACTTTTAATTAATTTTTTTTGGTAATAAAGTGGACATAGTTGGTACTTTAAGGAATTAAAATTCCTTGCAGTAACTACTTTTTTTACGATCGGGGGAAAAAAAATTAGGGAAAAACGGGAATTCTTACGAAAATTCTATTTTGTTATATTGTATTATAATTTAAGAATAATAAACTGTAGATACTTGAAATGTTCACAAACATTACATTTTGTTTGTATATATTTATTATTTAGTAATATTGTAATATTTTTGTGTTGTATTTCGTGTGAATTTACTTTTTTTATTTGAAAATGTTAAGAAGATATTTTATTTTTTCAAATGAACATCAATGGCAAGAGAGGCAGATGCCTCCGATTAACGGATTTTACAACTTATCAAGTATCCACAGAAGGATGAAGCGAAGAAAAAATCAGGATTACAGTCAAAGGTGTTTTATATAATTTAAATAAGATGTTAATTTTAAACGGTACACATGCATAAGACGGAACCATAGGCCAAATCGAATATTTAAACTAAAAAGAACAATTTTAGTTGTTTCGTTATAGTTAAAAAAATATTATTCGTTAGAACTTGAATTTTTTCGCTAGTTTGTATATTATTTTTAATTTATAAAAATCATAATTTTCAGCTTATTTTGATTAATTTTAAGTTATTTATATGACAAACTAATTCAAGTGTCTACAGTACATCGATATTGATTTACATATTAGTTTTTAACAGCTAGTAATATCATAATAGGTAGCCTGTAGGATAATATGCTATTTATTTTTTTTCTTTCAAAAATTAGTTCAACCTACTGCCACAGTTAGAAGAAATAAATCACTTATGAAAATATCATTAGAAGAATAGCTTGAATGACCGCATCCTGTCAAAATCGTTTTCCTTATGATTTATAATGATTTTAAATTTATCATATCGCCATTACAGTGACCAATTGAATGAATAGGTACAATCCTCACATGCTATATAGCAGAGTGATTTTCCCAGTTTTTTACGATGTGATTTAAAAACGGTAAACTGTAGAGACTTGGATTTTTCTCAAGACATTTATATAAACCTTTCTAGCCATAATGTAATATTCAAATTATTTTGTTTTTTTTATGATATTCATATACATTTTTATTAATCTATTGATTCATGTATAATATAATTTTTGTTTTTAAGTCTAGACTTGTAACATTAAAAAAACGTTCCCAAAAATAGTAAGATTTTTTACTAAAATTAAAAAAAAATTGGACGTTTGCTTCAAAAAAAATAATGCAAATAATTACACATGAATTGTATTGTATAATATAATATTTTTATATGATCTAATGCCTAAGGGTAAACAATAAATTTGTTAATATCATTTTTTCACAAGTTTTGGTTTGTGATTAATGTAAGCTCATTTTTGTAATGTATGTATACATAATACATGTATAGGTACATAATACTACATGTGTTTGAATTTCAAAGTATTTTACGTAATGTAAAATTCATTATTGAATAACTCAAACATGGACTCTTTTTATTATTATTAAAAAGTGTTTTTGAGGGTGTACACTGTGCATACAGAACATGTTTATTTTAGAAGTGTTCTAAACTAATCTTGTATAGGTGAATAGTTACATGACCTAACCATTCATTGTATTCATGTTTACATATTCACTTGAGCCTTGAGGTTCAAGAAGCGGTATATCACTCGAAGGTTATTTGCTACCATTAATCGATCTTAATGATTGAAATTCTTATATTGTTGTAAAAAGTAAACCGAAATTCTTTACTATACGTCTGAATCAAATATTGCCTGTAGTATCTATCGAGAGAAATACTATAGATATTGTACTTTGTTCATATAATTATTTCGCTTGAAGTACGCATTCACCATGCAACCGTTAAACTGCCGCATGAAACCGATGATGTATTTCTGCCACCTGTATGGTATGGGATTATACCGTGACGGTTTTCGGATCGTTTATTTTCTATTTATATTCGTTAATTTGTCAGTAAGTATTTATATATACTACGAAATGTTCATTTATGTCCAAAAGAATCTGTCGGAAATGTTCGACCTGTCTACAATAACGTCCGTGGTTCGACTCCATATCAGGTTTTTAGCGCATCCGATAATGATCGTATTGTTGTGTGTCAAAAAGACAACCATTATGAACTACATAAGCGATTTCGACGATCTCGTCTACAGAATCAATGATGTCTCTCTAAAGCCGTATATGATACACTTCTTCGGTTGGCTGTCGATTACCATGGTCGCGGAACTCATACAGATAATGGCGTTTCACTATCGCACGGACTTAAAATTTTTTTCGATCACTGCCACTGCTCAGTTCGTCATCTCGAACGTGTGGTTAGTAACACCAGTATTGATGTACATTTTTCTCATCTCCTTGGTCTCCCGCGGTATACGAGAACTCAACAGTGACATAACCTCGATCAGGGTGTGGAAAACGCACAGTCTCAAATGGAAAGAGCTCCAACACATGGGAATAGTTCTAACGAACACTGTGTTTGGAAAGATTATCATTATTTTTATTATGTTCACTATTATGGAATTAACCTTTTTCTGTTTTACGATATATTTAAGTTGGAGAGCTAATTCTCCTAATGAAATTGTTGCATACTTCATAAACCTGTGTGTTCGGGCCAGCTTGATGTTTGAACTTTTTCGAACAAGCCATAGCTGCAAGATAGAAGTAAATAAATTATTAAAATATTGCATGGTTGTATTTTGTACATAATTTGTTTAATGGAAAAATTTAGCTTCAATACAGTGGATTCCGCTTAATGTGGGCACGTTGGGACCAGCCCTGTTTGCCCACATTAAGCGGTTGCCCATAAAAACCGAATTAACATTGTTAATATACATTTGTATTGGGACCAGCTCTGTTTGCCCACAATAAGCGGATGCCCATATTAACCGGTGCCCACAATAAGCGGATTCCACTGTACTTTGCAGTAATTTCAATACTAAAATTTTTGGAGTGTAAAAAGTTTCATATATTTTTTAAACTCTTTGTAGTTCGTATACATATATATCCATGTATTCTTCAATATAACTTGCAATAATAATTAACTAAAACTATTTTAGATGGAATATAAAAGATTACAATTTATTTTTGAATTTGGGGCCATAACTTGATTGTAAATAATTATAATTACTAATTCATTTATAAGTAGTTTTTTTTTTATTTTCAATAATTTGTCTAATTTTTTTATTTTTAAGAAACAGATGAAAAGGACACAAATACTTTTGAATGGTGCTGTTAAAACTACAGTATCAGATTATAAAGAAGTAGATATGCAAAAGTAAATCGAACAATATTATAATAGCTAATTTTATTTTATTCAGTTTCAGTTCACGTCTATGTACATGCTGCATACTGATTTCAGTTTCATGCCGTGTAATATTTTTGATATTACCTATAGAAACTTAGTTACAGTAAGTAATTATTGAGTTATAAATATAATAGAAAATTAAAGTAAAATTAATTTTTCTAGATATTCACCATTATTGCTGCATATTCGATTTTTCAAATTCAAATGAAACCAGGTACCCCCAGCTAAAATAAACATTTATTAATATTTGTGGAGTTATTTAAACATATAATAATTAATAACGTGTTTTTTCTTATAATCAACTATACATCCAAATAGCATTCAATAGCATAATATATTCTAGAATTTAGATTCTGAGCGATATGACGTAATAATTTTACAATGATGAGTGTGATTATTTTTTTGTTAAATAAAAAATGTTTTGCTGGGTCGAAAAGTTTGAAATTGTTACATAGGGTTCCTCATAATTTATTATTATGGCAATTTAAAATATTAAAGAAACATAACTTCAATTATTTGCATATTTTAGTTATAATTAAAATAAAATGAGATATTTAAACTATGAATAATGATTTTACTTATATTGTTGTAATTAAAAATTCGAATAATAGAATATAATTCGTTGTTATTTGAAACATTTAAAGTTTATTATTATATGTTATACACACTAAGACATTTGAAAATTGTTTTTGGTAAAAATTAATTCAACCTATACTGTAATAGTAAAATAAATTACTTTAAAGTAATGATATCATAAATTATAATTAGCAATATATATTGATAGACCTTCTTCAATCAGAATAGTATACTTTCGTTCATATCAATTATTTATAATAAGTACAGGAAAGTGTAACACTATAACAGTATGGCATAATATTATATCGAAAGTATGTATGACGTATGTTATAAGTAAAATATACCTACTTATATATTATATATAATCAAAATATTTCAATATCGGATTGATCACAGGATATCTCACTAACTTGACGCTGCGCTTGGACTCAATCACGAACATAACCTAGACTATTAATCCATTTTCTAAAACAAAATAATTAGTAATTTGTGTTATTGTATAAAATAATACATACAAAAAATGATGTTCCTCTATGTTTTCATAATACCATAAGGTAAAATATATTGTGTAACTAATGGCCTGTGATGTCAATGTTGTTTTTGGAATCGATAAAAATAAAAATAAAAATATTAATCCTATAAGTAAATAATAATATGTATCTGTATACGATTCTTATTATTCAGTTAACATTTCAAAAATTCCGTATAATGTTAAGTTATTGTTGTAGATTGAATGTAGTAAAGTTATATATTTTGCTAAATTTAAAATTGATGTATATCTATATATTATTATTATGTGTATAGTGTATACCTATTACAAATCTATTATATTATGTGTATTATAAACCGACAGACGGTATAAGAATTCAAAATGTATAGTCGTAGATTTGCATGCGGTGTTTAGTATATCATATTAATTATAACATAAATAATTATTTTTATATATTAGTTTATTATATAAATATAATAAACTTTTACAGTTTTTTCGTCTGGGCGTACCAGTGATTATTTGCCGTGTGAAATATTACCCCCCCCCCCGTGAATATCACTAGAGATTAGGAAAGTAAAATTTTCGGGCTAAAAAATTGTCATGTCCTATCAAATTTCTAAATTACCAAAGTTAATTTCACAACGATAAGTGTGAATGATAATTATATTGCTTTTAAAAATTATGTTTTTGACATCTATTGATTTTATTAATAACTAATTAATATAAATATAACGTACTTTATAATATAGATTTTACTATAGAAAGCCTTCATCTACGGAATCACTCTATAAATTCACAATTACAGATAAATAATTTTTCACAAGAACCTTATGGAGCTAATAAAGATGGAGTCGCGGAAGCAGTAAGATCTTAGATGAAGGTGCTTTCTCCATTTATAAATAATAGCGTAATAATATTACACTGTAAATTAATGATAACAACTACGTGGAATAACAAATACACAAAGGCGTCACCAGACTTCTATAACCTGGGGTGCTATAATTGTAAAGCACCCTGATACTAAAATTACATAACCTTGTAAGTTATAAATCAACAATAATCGATATTTAAAAACTTCTTATACATATTTTAACACACGACTTTTCGTTTGAGCAATGATATAAAATAACATCAAATCACTCGAAAAAAATGGGGATGCTAAATTAGAACTTGGCCGAAAGGGTCTTTAGTACCCCCCAGTTGCGCCAATGATAATAAGATGACACGGAGTTATAAACGTTCAAATTTATACACAATCAATTATGAACAATTTGATCACTTATATTGTGTCATTTGTTTGATGTGTTTAAAATGCATTAAATTTTGAACATTTAATGCAATTTTCTTATAAGCTCACTTTAAAATAATTTTAAACAAAGTTTATTGTAAAGCCACTTTTTTACACTCTGGTAACAAAATAGTTTATTAAACATTAAAATATTTGAATAAGTAGAATATAATAATATAGTTATAGGACAAACGTTTTCTTTCTACATTGATCCATGCTATTAAATTGCATACGCATATTGCCGTATTCTTTTATTAATTAGAATATTTTGTTTTTTACAACTTTGAAACAACTTTGAATAGAAACATTGAATCTATTAAAAATGTTCTTATAAAATAAATGTTTTTAGACAATTTTAATTTACGCAGATACTCGGTTTGTTGATTAGTAGTTTTAAAGTAATTATAATTTATAAGAGCAATCAATTTGCTGAAAAGTAGTTACAAATATACCAACATACCAATGCACGATTAAATGCATCAATTGACAATGGCACAGTACCAAGGTGTTGAGCGTGAACCACTTGCAGGATGTTTTTAATATCTTATAGACAATTATTAAAATAACACATAAAATATTATGTTCTATCTATATATTATGATATACATATACATAATATGGTCGCTTCTGGCTGTGAAGAAATCGTTGTACAGCTTATACAATCTATCAGCCCCGAACAAAACTGATCAGTCAGTAACCAATCCTGCATTGTACGAGACTCGTATTATCATGCAGCTAATCCACATCAAATAGTCGTGATAAGGATTATAAATATTTTTGTACGAAAATATATATATATTTTTTGATTTGTACATATATTCTTAGTTATATATTTATTTTAATTTTCATAACTTGATGATAGTTATTTGATTTACTTCGTTCTTGTATAAAATACCATTTGTAATTCTTAAGTGTTACTAAATATTTATTTATAAGTGTTATTTTTAATACAATTAATACGAAATTGTTTGTTGAAAAGTATAACGTATTATTATTATGTATATAGTCATAGATTTGAAATCCCACATGGCCCCATATATAATATGTATATATATATTATATATTGTTTGCTAATGTCTAGTATATTATTTCATCAACGAGAACTATTACGTTTACGTTATAATACTGGTCTTCCGCTTATAAAATAATCTTCAAACAAACATTCATTGGAACCACGACGGATTTTGAAAAATCCTTTGTCTCCCCAAGATGTGCCCCATGAATTGGCAGCCAACCAATATTGAACGCCTCTGTTTACACCCCATCCAATGACCTTTACCGTAATCTGTCCAAGTAGCTTACCAGTTACATGTTGATAAATTCCTGAATATAAAAATAAAAATTTAATTATCTAAGAGATATTTTTTGTAAGATTAATTATTATTTTATATCATACCTGACTTGTATGTTAGGAAATCTTCATAAACACGCATTATAGCAGTTGCAGGTCCGTGTTTTTTCAATTCATTCCTGATTGTGCCAGGACAGTTCCAATCAATTCGTACTCCTAATATAAATTAAAATATTTCAATATTTACGAAAAAAATAGTTATGATATTAATAAATTATTAATATCTAATTTGAAAGAGATTTTCCACAACTTACCTTTTGAAATGTCTTTGAGGAAGGGTTTTGAATAGTTTGGGTTGTAGCAATTTAAATTGCATTTTGGTGTCTCTGATTTATATTTTCCGCACATATATGATGGACTTCTTTCGTCCATAACCGTATGGTTACATGGTGGTATTAACCATGGTTGACAGCCCTACAATGGTGTAATTTTTTTAATTTATTATTTAAATCTATACATTATAATCTATATTTTAATAACATCTCACGTAGTGAAAACATATTGGATTGCTTTAAAAGTTTTTAAATGTATGGAACTCTAAAATTGTGAGCTTTATTAAAATTTCTTCAAGAAATTGGAAAATAAGGAAATGTATGATCTATCATTCCAATATCGAGTTGATATATTGCGTGAAAATGATTGCTAAGTGAAATATATGAGTCTCAAATTTATTTCGTGTATTTAATATTGAATATTGATCAAGAGAAATTCAAATTACTTCATTGCTACCGTAATCGCCTCCTGTGACCAATCCTCTTTTCATCCAATATTGCCACGCGGCTCCGGAATAGCCGCCATTGCATCCATCACCACAGTCATCACAACATGACAAAAGTTTTTGTGGAGAATAAAGCACTGTAATATTTTTTTTCGACTTGATACATATACGGTCGTTAATAGCCGAAGTGACGGAAATCGCCTGAAAAAATACATTATTCACTGGGCACAAGTTTTGATATTGAAATTGAATAAATCAAATACGCACCCAGTCGGCAGCACAGTTTCCCTGGTTCCATATGTGAGCAATAGAAACGCATTCAAACCATTTATTTCTGGCGTCGAAAGTTTCCGGCATATCGTTTGATCCATCATCCGTACCGTGATTATTGTCTTTACGACCGATAATATCGATCTCTTTACCATTTTTTTGAAAGCCCCAAGTTCCAACTATGTTTTTGTAATCAGACGTACCAAGTTGGTTAATTCCGGCCTACAAATAAAAATTGTATATTAGATGGTCCGAGATTCATTTAAATAATTTATTTGTATTAGTTTTCACAAACTCTGTGGGACTTATGATTAGTGTTCACAAATTTCGTGAAATATAAAATTGAGACATTTTAATACATTTTTTTTTCGAGTATCTAAGTTTATTTGACTATAAGTACCTAGGTTATAGTATATAATATTATAGGTATCTAATAATTTTTCAACATTGTTTGTTTCTATTTTATCTATTGACTTATTGTAAAATATTAAAATTACTCAATTGCAGCGTATTCAATAATTTTAAATTAAAATGACTACCACTTTTGAGAGCTATCTTTCATTGTCATGGAGTTCAATATAATTTGTTTGCATACATTTCGAAATAATACTACGCACGGGAGTGTTACATTATTTTCATTAAATTTTAAAATAATTAAAAATTATTGGATTTGAAAAACATTTCTGAGTGATATTTCTAAGAATAATTAAATGCTTACATAACTTTCATGCAATAATTGCGGTAACCTGAATATTAGTAAATTTGAAGTTGAAACTTTGTATTGACTTTTAAATTGAGACTTGTAGTAGCCGATTCTAAAAATCGTTTTAATTTAAATTTAAAATTAACTTAAGTAAATTAAAACCATGTAATAAAAGAAACCTAAAAAGTAATCTCATAATTATATAAGGGTGATTAATATGAATATGTATATGTGATAGGTTTGTATTTAATAAATATTTTACCATACATAAATTGTTAGCTGAACATGAAAAATGCTTAGAAAATAATTTTAAGCTATATATAAAAAATCGTCATAAATATTAATATTTCAAATCATTAAAAATGCTATGGTATAATTTTGGATGAAGTGAGTTAGTTGTTTGTAGGTTTCATGATAATTTTTTTTTTAGATTTTTTTTAGATTTCAATATTTTTTAAAAAACAAATGAGATATATTTTAAGGTACAGAGTCAACAAGTTTCTAAAAAAAACCTATTTGTAGTAATTTTAAAGCCTTCAAAATAATGCGATTTGTAATAAAAATAGTACTGTCAATAACTTAGACATATGAAGTATGAATAATTGTTATTTTATTAAATAAACGTGAACTCGTTAATGACATTTTATCTTAGTAGTAGTATCTTGTTTATTTTAATTTATATATAATTATATTGTCGAACTTACTTCCCATGGTACGTTGGCACGGTTTACGTGTTCGACGATGTGTTGTAGCTTAAATGTTGCATTACACGACAACCAAATATTGCAAAATAATAGTAACAATAAAATTGTATTATTTCTCAACATGGTGATGATTGAAATTATTAATTTCTATTGTAAGGGAGTACTAAAAAATAATGTATACTGATACTGATATTTATTGTTTAATGTTGACTGATATTGTAATCTTTTAAAATAACACTTAATTTTAAGTGTCATGTACGTTTTTAAGCAGATTTATGTATTTAAATAGGTACTTATTTATTATAAATTAAAATGACATTGTATACTTATAATACAGGTATAGGTATTGTTTAAGAGTAAATTGTATTTTGTCAAATCGTGTAAATAGACTAAATATTTTTTTAAAAATAATATATAGATAAATCCATTTAGATAAAATATTATCTGATACTTCATAGTAAAATATGTAACAGGCACCTACGTGTTAGGTAGTATATTTTTTAATATCGAATAAGTTAAAATTAGGTACACTAATTACACTGTTTAACATTTGAACTCAATAATAAATTATTATATTTCTTGTACGATTGAAAACGTTTTCTAACGGAGACCGTCTTTCAGCCTATATTTCTCAGGATATTTTATTTCATAATTAAATTTAAATTATTAATTCAATAGGTTGAACTAGAGTTCCTTGATAGAGAATCTCTTTCAAGGCACTCTAGGTTGAACTAATTTTTGCCAAAAACAAATAGTGTTTATCATAAAAATGTATCACACTATTATTATTACTATTACTATCTGTTACCTGCTAATTATTATATGTTTATACTGACGTAGGTACCGTGGTGGCACAGTGTGAATAGGTCCATATCATAAATAATTTAAAACAAATCTAAATATTTTTTAATTTTCATTACAATGTAATGTGTAACTATATTTAATTGTACTATTAGTTTGCAAAAAGTTTCAAGTATCTACCTCTTTCCTATAAATAATATTATTTAAATAACAACATCATATTATTTAAAATAGTAATTTTTGTTTAAGTATCCAATTTTTTCAAAATTTGAATTTGAAATAGAATTTTTACCGCTCTAAAAGATGATGATGACAAGCAAGATAAAAATAAATGAAAAGATAAAACACATCAATTTAATATCAATACTCTCTGCTCAGAATCGAATAAATTTGAGACACCTGTCATTTTTGTCAATTCTACTGATATATTAACTTAGTGATGTGATTAAGTTCTGAAAACCAATATATTAATATAGGATAATAATTATTATATATATATATGTTAATATGATGAGCTTACTAGAATGTGTGCTCTTCCCCTTTTATCTAAAACGAGTTTTAAATTTGAATTTGTAAATTAAAAATTGTTATATTGTAAATTATATTTTTTCAATTCATGGTATAATTAATTTATACCGAATTTAATAAGTTTTAACACAACTTAGGCTATTTAGTCCAAACAAGTGTCTTATGAATTATGACAAATTATCATAAACTGATAATAGTGACTAGTGAGTAATGGTATACTTTTATGTTTTATTGATAATAGTTACTACTTACTTACTAGAATTTCATTTTCTATTTTAATATTTAACACCTAGGTACTGTACTTACATTAATAATATATTTACAGTTTATGTATCAATTCCACCTTAGCTATATTTTATTGAAAATAGTGAATCTTAGTAACTTACCCACCAAGTGTTTTGTATTTTATATTGTACAAGTCGCACATTACATTCTTCAAACTATATTATGGCGTTTCAAGTAGGTACGATGAGTTATATACTTATATGTTATTGCCGATACCTAGTGAATAAATAGTCATTTTATTTGTATAAACTGTATTATTGTATTGTGTATATTTTAAGTAAACCATTATGGAACATGTATTTGAAAAACAAATAATTTTTTTCTTCCATTATTCAACATTTGTTTTGTATTTTACATTTAAAAATATATTATTTGGCCATGTTGTCCAACCTCTGGAAAGATAGGTAGCGGTAGGAATAAAATTATAAAGCTGACGACAAAAAGTACTTTATATTTTTTATTTTTACCCGTATAGCACCACACTAAAAGGACTACTGTCTATACTCTATACTTAATATTCAATAGTATGTTGGATTAAGGTGTATTATAGACTTATTATCAACAGTGTAAAAAATCTCAACTCGTGCAGTCGTGCGTAATCCTCTACATAAAATTGAGGAGCTTGAGAACTTCCACATATAGTTAAAATAATAAGTGTTAAGTAAATGATAATATATTTTTAAAATATATATTATGTGTGTGATTAATTAGTTTCTCATATAACTAGCTGATTCATCAATATTCGCTATTGGTGGATTTCAGCGGATTTCAGTGTATATCTATACTTATTATACATATAAATTAATGTTTTTCTGTTGTTTAATACCTAGAGATTCAAAAATTATTGGATCGTTTTCAATAAAAGTTATATCCATGATTTCTCGAGAGTTGGAGGGTGTTTATAGCGTAATTTATTTAACTGGAAAAATGGCACGACTGGCGAATTTTCAAATTTTATTTTGCTGGACAGACGAAGCTACGGTTGTCTTACCAGTCAGATAAATTTTCATAGAAAAAACCAAAACATTTTTACTATTATTATTGTATAATAATATGTAACCTAGCAACAATTTACAAGCAAAAAAAAGAATTTATAGAAAAATTGAATTTGAAAAAAGCCTTTCATTTTCCTCAAATTTACTATTATTTTTACTTAATTAATTATTATTTAATATTTTTAAATAATTGTAGTAATATATTATACCAGTAAAGTATTGTACAATGATTCTATTATCTGGTTAAAATAGTTTTTGAATGACCGCATTAAGTTCTTTTATATCTTTAGTGTTTAGGATTATTATGTAAGAATAAAAATACTTAGATATCCATGAAAAAATTATTGATTGTTTTCAATAGTAAGTACTTAAACAAAATGTAAATCGTGGTCTTTGAAGTGATAGGATTATTTATTTTTATTTTAGAATCATGTATTATTTTATCATGTTCATGTCAAACATGTTAAATATATTACATACCTATTTTGAATATTAGGTACTAGGAGCAAACAGTACAAACACTTGAATGATTATTTTTAATTATATTTTATATATATATATATATATATATTGTTGATGTACATATTTATATTTTATAATATTTATCGTTTAGTCGAACATTAATTGATAGTTATCTTATGACATCATGAACAATACATTTATTAAAATGGTAATCCAGCGTACATTTTTTCTTGGAAGAAGCATCCGTCATTACCTCTTGAAATCTTAAAAGTTCCGTGATAACCCCAATCCGTACCAAACGAGTTGGCTGCCAACCAGTAAGGGGAGCCGTTTTCTTCACCCCAACCGAAAATCTTTACACTATGGACGGTAAAGAAATCGACATCTGACTGCTCATCGTACTGATATACACCTTGAAAGTTAAAAAAAAAAATGTATTATAAAATGTAATTACCACAAAAACGTAATATCGTATAATTTACATACCAGATTTGTAATCAACTAAATCTCTGTACATATAAAACTGAGTTGTTATCGGGCCGTTATCAAAAATTTCTTTCATAGCCATGTAAGGAGATACTTTATAATATTTACCTATAGTTATAAAAACAATAATGACTAAGTACAAGACATAATATAAGTATTGGTACATTATCAAAATTAAAAGCAATTGACAAGATATTACATGTTTTGCTAAGATACGGCTGAAACATTTACTGTTATGATATAATTAATTCAACATGAATGATAAATTCATGTATTAAATAGGTAGACGATTAAAGTGGAACTGAATTTACTACCTATACTGTTGATAATTGTTTTAACATTTTATATAAACAGTTTCAATCGTAACATGTAAGTATGCATGAAAAAGTAAAATACAGAAAACATATTTAAAATGCACTGCGTATATTAACAATATAAAGATATCTTAAATGTAATTTCTGTAAATTTGGCAGTTTGTTTTTATTTTTTAAAATAAATAAAATTCTAATAGCAACTATACATTGTTTCAAATGTATGATAAAGACATGTTACATTTTTAAAAATCTTTTTTTGATTCAAACAAGTACCTACTCTATTATTTTCAATGAATTTATAAATAAACGTTTTTTTTAAAGGATTTATATGATTATTGTTCGATCATTTGTTGATTAATTATTTTGATTAATAGTTAGAATTTTACCTATCTAAAATATAATAATCAATTTGAGTTAAAATAGAAAAAATACGAAACACAAATAAAACAAAACAATAAAAAATCACACAAATCAAACTATGTACGATCATATTAATATAATTTATAATAGGTATACTGAATTATAAATCTACCCCTGTAAATATCGGCTCTGAACGAAGTGTAGTAATTTGGGTTATTACACTTTTTTTCACATGTTGGTGTTTCCTCTCTGTTAAATGTCGTACAGCTGTGTCCAGGTGGTTTTTCGTTTATTAGTTTACATGGTGGGATTGTATATGGTTGACAACCCTAAAAAGTAAAATCTGATTATTAAAACATTTTTCTTGTCATTATTTCTTAATTATTGTTCATATTAGTTATATCTATTTCTTTTAATACACTTTAACCATGACGCCATAGTATCAGTTTGTATATTTCTTATTCTGGTATACATTCTGTGTTCTAGTGACTGATGCTCCAATTCATTCCCAAGAAATAGGGGTTATTAATTATTACTACAATCCTACTTGAAAGTTGAAGCATTTGATCAAATTATCAGTCCTTCAACATCATTTTTTTGTCGTCGGCCGTCACCAATAATTTACCGAGATACAGAGTAATTAATTTATGTACGATTTAACGTGTTTTAAACAAACAGGTCTTAAATTTATATTTTAAACTATACTACTCTAACTTAAATTACTATTTTCACCAAACTAACTTCTAACTAACTAAGTTAGAAATAAATTTGGAAAATAATAAAACTAACTAATATTCCAATTTAGATAGTTTTTGTATCAAAGTAATTTAATTTTAACTTGTTGAAAAACAATGACTAACTTCTCCAGCTTATTGAAAATTAATTTGTTGATAAAAACATATTATTATGTACTAAGCTTACGGCTGTAGGTTCATACAAAATGTTCTTTAATGTTTAATTTAGTGTCACGTTTTTTAAACTGTATCACTAAAAAGGATAAATCAAGAGATCATAAATATAGGATAGAAAACCAATGGGTTTACATTCAGAATCTAAAATTATAGCGTTATTATTAAACACCAAATACATTTTAATTAATAAATGTTTAATTAAAATTTTAAAACAAAATGTAAAAATGTTTAGGATGAGAAGTTTATTTCGTTTAATCATGGTGAGTTTTTCTACTATGAAATCAATTGGTAATTTGAAAGTTAAATACTTTGTATTCAAATCGGTATCTAAACCTATAGTATGGTTTGAAAGATTGACGTCAAATTAATATTGTTTTGTATCATTATTTTAATTTTTAAATTCCACATATTCTGGAATTGATAATTTGTCAACTTTATAGTGACATTGAATTTATGTGTGAATATATTGAGGAGTGACTATAGCAATAATTCCGATGGCTAGCAATAGATTAATTAAACGAAATATGGGTATAGAATAATACCTGGTTAGAGTTATATTCTCCACCTGACACAAATCCATGTCTCCTGTAAAAGTCCCACGACTCGAATAGTGATCCACCATCACATCCATATCCACACAAATAACAGCAAGAAATTATCTGTTGTGCAGACATTATAGGATTTTTTGTGCTGTTGGAATGGATACATATCCTATCAGACGCTGCAGAAGCTGCCGCTACAGCATAACTCGAACGACAGTTTCCTTGATTGTAAATATGACCGATCGATGGACAATTTGGCCATTTTTTCCTCGAGTCGAAATTCGTTGGTAGACCATTTGTAAAATAAACACTATTGCCTCCTCCACGTAGGTTCGACATTGTATCACTTTGGCTGTTAATCGCTAGTTCTGGAAAAACCTACTCAAAATGTGTGTTATTGTAAATACTTTAAAATATATTACTTTTTAAAAACCTATTAAAATAAGAGCTAACCTTGACACGATCGTCGTCATCATATTGGTTATTCGATTTAGTTCTATCCCCGGTAGCATACGCAATAATAATCAAAATAAATACCAATTTTAAAATCATTTTTTTTAAAAATTAAAATAATACAAAAAAGTTGAATTTCAAAGTTACAACGCTACGTTGTAAAACTATTCAGGAACAGTTGCAGTCATGTATAACCAAATAGTTTCTAGAGTGGCCCTATATAAAAAATAAAAGATTACTTAGTACTTATGAAGTATTTAGGCCGCCTATTAAACTTTTCAAATAGGTTTTATACTACGAGAAATATTGATTACCAGAATACATATTACTATCGTATTAAAGTTATCATAATTGTTTGTACTGTCTGATGTTGAATATTGAGACAATATACTTTTAGTTTTAAAATAATAGCATTATAATAATGGTTTTATCTTCCTATGTATTGTCTACAAGTAACTTCTTAAAGTACAAGTGTGTAAATATTTGTTACATACGAATTATAAAAATATAAGTTATTTGAATAATAATTTATTATTTGCATTCCTAATCAGGAGTATACTCCCTATAATATAAGTTATTGGTATTTAATATTGGTATTTCAAAAAATATATATTTTTATAATAATGAATGTAGAAATGTGAGCTTGTGAAAACAATTTTTTTAGTTGATGATATCCTGTGAATTATAAAGGCAAATAATTAAGAATTCATTACGAAATTAGTATGTTTTTAAAATTTAATTAAGTTAGTCTCGTTATTCGTGATATTTTAGTATATAACATTAGTTTGTACCGTGATTCCTGATTACCTTGGTTTTAGTGGAGGTAGTGAAATTATTCCAGTTTAACAGGCAGATGTTTGTTGTCAATATTTTCTAATTAGTCTTATATTAAATTTGTTAAGTTTATTACAGTAATGTTATAAATTTATCAATTGTAAGGAAATCTGTAGTATTTCGAATTGTTTTGTTCTGTATTAATAATTGTAAATCTTTCATTACCTTGTTATACTGTTTTAATTTTTAACCTTTTACCTACTTAAAACTTTCTAAGATAATTTAAAAATTCAACTCGCTCTGCTGTATAGATTTTGAGTGCATTTCGTAATTAAGTAGGTCCCTGAAAATTGTAATGGATTAATTCAATTTGTATTCAATGATGAATCATTATACCTACACTAAAAACAATTCTGAACAGAGCCATATTTATAGTAAATATATATGTATATTTTTATTATTCTCGGTACAGCTTAGCTTACAAAAATATTTAATATTATGTAACATACAAATATAGATACATTGGTTTTATTATATTGAACTATACGTATACATATCTTTAAGTAGTAAGATGATTTTGTTTCCGTTGTTTTGCCATGGGTTCAAAAGTTCAAAGAGGTTGTCTTAAGTTCCTAGACAACTTTTGGCTTCTATTTGGTTTCAGCAGTAAGCAATGAGGTGATTGAGTGTAAGGGGTTCACCACGAGTTAAGCATAGTGTTTGTTTTTCTTTTCATATTAGATGTCCACGAGACATCTTCGAGTGACCTGATAATATATCTATATTAGATGATGATGCCTAGAAGTTATTTATTTTTCTACTAATAATTTGAAAAGTAAATCTAATTTTAACCCATAACTATCAAATATTGCATCATGTATCCAGTATAATCAAATGTTTCTTATAGTTCTATACATTGTGCTAGTAAGATCTCAACTATAATATGGATCCGTGATTTGGAACCCATATAACTATATCAATTACGTTAAGTTGAAAAAATTGAACACATTCATAGGCGTTTATAAATTATATGTGTCCTACGATGGAAGCTGGGCAGACAGGATGATGAGAAGATATTGCTAATGAACTCAAATTTAGAAATTTAGAGTTATGATTGAAATTTATTGATGTACTATAAATTTATAATCTTATAAATGAAAAAAATAGACTGCTCTGAACTTTAGGGTCGGTACCAACTAATGTGCCAAGGTCGGTTCATGTGCTTCACATTGCTACCTTAATTCTATACACCAACATTCTGTGGTAATTATAGGATTAATCCACCATTCAATGGTGCATAAAAATCATGCAATGTGATAAAAGAAAACGATTTATTTTATGATGTTCAAACCAAGTTGAGGTTAAAATGCTTATAATAGATTTTTTTTTAATAGTTAAAAGTGAATAGAATATCGAATTTATATCAAATAATTAAAATTATATTATAAATAGTTGAATTAATAATCACTATATTATATACTATTTTATAAAAATAGATTTGTAGATAAAATGTATTTGTAATTTTTAAAAACTTACATACTTACACATAATATCTACAGTAAATTTTATTTAATCTAATTGTTTGTATGGCATCTTGTATTTTTTAGGATAATTTCATCTGAATTTGAAAAATCAGAAACGCCGTAATTAATGTAGCAATCTTAAAAAAAAAATACTTTTAAATTCGATTAACAATGATTATTTTTATTAAATTGAAACATACTGATCGCAGACTTCGGTAGTTCATTTCAAAAATATTGCAAGGCATGAAACTAAAATCTGCATGTAACATATGTAAAGAAGCATATTTTATCTGAAAATAATATGTTATCACTGGACTGAAAATTAAAATATATAGTTATTTATAAATTCAACGCGTTCCGTTATTGTTTTAATAACAATACACTTTAAATGACATCATTTCACAGCAAAATGAAATTAATTTTTAATTAATACGTGTTTTAATAATTTATTTTAATTATGATTATAATTCATTATAGATACAGGATAATTATTTGAACAGTCATTAAATACACTGTAGAATTTTTTGAACAATTTGTAACAGAAATTCCAACATTTTATATTGAAATATGTTCACTAAATTATTCTTATATTTTTTTGTTGGTGAAGTCACTATATAGCTTTAAGTATTTCTAAATTAAAACTTATATTACTAATTGAATACTCTTCTAAAAATAATTATTTTATTTTTTTGTTACTCAATCTTACTTTATATTTATAATTTACCTGTCTGTAATCTGAATTGAAGTTAATGCTAATGGAACTCAAGACTTTTTGTGTTTTCAGTAGCTAATTCAGATAAAAAAAAAATTATAACAATAAATTAATTAGTATTTTATATAGTCTAAATTATTGAAACCAGTTAAAATTCCCAAGAAAAATTAATCTTGTAAAAAGTACCCAGTCCTTAAGCACTCGGAAAAAGGATCTTTGAGTGTAAAAAATTTATGTAGTTATAATATAACATCACATTTGTATTAAATTTCTTTAAAACGAATACAATCAACTAGAAAAGTGTGTGTCTAGATTTGTTGAAATGTTTGAAGGAGTTCGGAAAATAAGAAATATTCTTAATTCGGTTACTGCGTAACTGAGAAACGAAGACAGTAGAAGACGATACGACAGTTATATAAGTCCATAATTATTGTTATTTTTGTTCATATTTTTTTTTCTTGGAGAATATATAGATAAGATTATAGATTATTTAGAGATTTTATAAAAAATGCACCGGAAAGTGCCCACCTCTAGTTTGCAGTTTTTCGACATGCGGATCACTTCAAACATCCAAGAGGCGCTGAACAAGGCATTGATGAAGTAAATGGACATTCGCAGTGAGTTCTTTTGATTGTATCCGAACAAGTATAGCATGAACTCTTAGAATACGATCTCCGCGATCGTGCACACGATAAACGCGACAATGGTGACACCGAACTGGTGGCGGGCCAGTTGGACTGCCAATTGTCTGAGGTCATCCCAATGGCCACGGTACGTCCGCCATTCAGCCACCGTGGTTAGCCGGCCGTTGATGTCCTGAATGGACATTCGGATCGTGTCCATCAGGAACACGTACATGAACAGCGGCACCTTGGACCATACGTTGTACACGAGAATCATGCCGTACTCGGTCATCGTGAAGTACACGAAATCGGTGTCCAGATGGAACATAGTGTATCCAGCGAACTCGATGAGCACGGACATGCTCAGCCATCTTGCCAAGTACCAAGCGAACGGTTTCAGTGGCGTGGCCGCGGCCGTTTCCGTCATGGCGTGGTCCAGATCGCGCACGGCGTCCGACAGCGACCGCTTGTTGAACTGCCACATGATCAACATCAGCGGCGGCGTCAGCAGTTACGTGTACACCTTGGCCACGCTCATCACCGTCGTGATGTCCCACACGAACGGCATACGTTGCTGCACGAGGGACGTCACATGATCGTACCCATACGCGCAGTACAACAGATTGGCCATCACGATTAGGACGTCCACGGCGGTGCCTACCGAACCGTCTGGCTTGAGCCCCAGCCCGAACAGCCGGCTGACGTTCATCGTGGAGTTCAGGCGTCTACGCAACTTTACCATTATTATGCAGCCGTTTCGACTGTCATCGTTATAATCATATCATCTTCGTCATCATCATCATCATCACCATTCTCCTCCTTCTCATCATCCTCCTCCTCATCATCATAATGTTGGATATTGTTATAATATTATATTAATTGGATAAGGGTGTTCTGGTATTTGTTTTGACTTTCAGTGATTTTTTCGTATTTCTTGTCTCGTAGTTGGAAGTTTAAAAAAATCAATTGGGAAAAAACTTCTCTGACCAAAGCTTGAATGAAAATTCAATCGATTAAACGAAAAACTATATTGCAGTATCACTATTCTTACGACGTGCGAGAAAGATAGTCGCACCCGAATAACCATAATGTGATATTATACATAATATTGACTTTCATTTTTCTAATAGATTCGCGTCACGGTTGGCAGAGCTAAATACATACTTCATAATCTAATAAAAGGTTTTTGATACTTTTGACGTTTTAAATTGTTAATACATTAATGCTCGAAAAACGAAAAATAAACAAAAATAAAATAAAATTTAACACGTAGATGCAATCGAAAATAGTCGTAGTATGATAGACAAAATATATAAATTACATTATTTTAGACATATACCTACACATACAGTTAGATGGTTTAATAGACTTAACTATTGTAAGGAATTCGGAAGGGTTTCGAATCGTTTTGTTCTGAATGAACAATCGTTTATCTTTTTTTTCTATTATAATATATTAATTGTTTACTTTTAACTATTACCTACTACCAGGGTTGGGAATAGATTACTACATTTTTCTCTAGATAAAGATGAAGATAAAAAGTAAATATTTTATCTAGATAAAATCAACATAAATTGTTAAATATGAAAATATATAATTTTTACTAGTTTTACTGCAC